TTTTGGCAGCTTGTTTAATTACTTTTCTTTCTTAGACAATTTTTTTCAGAGTTTTCTAATTTGATTTTTCTCTCCCTTAATCCCGCCATATCGCTAAAATCTATCTGCTCTTATAACATCGACTAACCATTTACTGGGGTTACCACCATTATAATCATCAAATATCGTAAGCTCATCTCATAATTTACAAAAGTGCTAACTCTAAAAATTCTGAACTTTTTTCTTTGTTTTTTTTTTCTTAACAAAATGCAAGGATAATTTGAGATACTTTTTACCTGTCTCTTGAATATTATTGTTCTCCAGCATTTTCTGGCATCTTTTGCCTGAGCCACTTTATTTAATCCTATTCCTTACTGGCAATCACGTAAGGAATTTCTCCTAAATTTTCTGTCTCCTTTGCTTCAGAAGCCTAACAGGATGTGCGCATGTTTCTACAAGATGGCAAATGTGACTGAGAGTGTGTGTTTTGCAATCAGGTCAATACATACACCACTGCTTATTGATTGTGTGAGCTTGGGCAAGTCCTTACTCTTTCTGTGCTTCAGTTTTCTCATTTTATTTTGATTTTTTACTCTTTTTATTTTTATTTCTTTGGACACTATGCTGACTTAAGTTTTCTCATTTTTAAAATGGGGCCGTGACTATTTACTTCACAGGGTCATTGTGATAAGCAAGACAGTGTACTAAAGAAGGATTGGTGTCTCCCACATAGTAGCTGCATAAGCTATCTGGTAAATCAGTCATTACTCCCTTAAAAATAACGAATAAATCAGCTGTCTCTTCTTCATTACTCAATCTCAGTTTTATTTTTAAAATTTACCATTTTTTTTCCCTTTTCTAGTCTTCTTGCTAAACTGTTCATCCTCCTCACTGCTGGTAGCTATAGTAGCATTTCTGAAACACGCATTTTCACTCCCCTCCTATAATTTTAGTCAAATCTGTGATAGGTAAAATTTGCTGTTTACTTTTTAGAGTACAGGCATAAATTATGAGAACGTTTATACATGGTAATTTTTTTTCTATTTCTAGTTTTCCTCTTTGTATATAGTTTAAAAGTACAACATATAATTTGTACAAATAAAAAGCTACTTATTGTGGAGGTCATACTTCTTAAAGAAGTGAAACATGAAAAATATTAGGTGTATGGAATCAACTAAAAGATTTTTAAAGGCTTCCACATTTCATAATATTGTATATTGATTGAAATAAATTACATTCATTATCTCCAATCTTGACTCAACTATCTTTAATTGAATGCCTATTATATGCCAACTATTATGATGAGCTTGTTCTATTAAAATTATTTTATATAAAATGTATTTGTTTAAACCTATATCCTTATTTTTTTAAAAGATGTCATTTAAGATGACAGCTATTTGTGAAAGGAAGAAATACTGTTCATGTTTTCTTAACTACTGAATTTAAGTAGGGCTTTATTTCTTGGAATAACCTAACTACAAAGCTACTATAATAGTGATACAGTTCATATTCATCTGAAATTACACATATTTTCCTGTGAAATACTTTCCTGGGAACATAACCAGCCAATTGAGGTTATGGTAGGAATTATGTGCAATGCTGTCTATGGCTCCATCATAGTTCTGGGTTTCTGGAATTCTTGTCTCAATAATTTATAGGATATTAATGGTAATATCACATGGGATAAAATTACTTCCAGGTTTTAACTCTTAAACACACTATCATCAATATGTGTGTTTAGAATTGAGGAGAATGCCATTTGGCTTGCTATTTTGACAGGGTTTAAAGAATGTCTTTATAAATGAAAAGCTGAGACACATAACATCATATCTTTTAAGTCAAAAATCACATCAACTTTTTCAAATTTATAATGTTTATATTACTCTGTTCCCAATAAAATCCAAAGGATTTTATATTCACTATGTATAGATACAAAGTGACTTCATAGATGTTATTCTGTTGTGGTATATATTTTTTCCTTTGCTGCTATTTTTATATATTTAAATTTGCAGAAGGCAGAAATGCAATGCATCAAGCCACTTTCTCTTTGAAAACATAAATGCACAATAATTAGAGACCTAGAGTGTTCTAAGAAGCATGGGATTAGCCCCACAATAATGAGAGCTCACATCTGCAGTCAGTCTAAAAATGTCACACAGACCTAATTTTGCTTCAATGCAAATGTAATTTGTTTCTTTGCATTTACATGTGGAAATAAATTAGTGACTGTGTTTAACTCATTTGCTATTTAATCTTTATTGTATCCTTTTCAACTAAGCTACTGGGAAAATAATATACCTGTGTAGGTTCCTACTACTGTAAATTTGTGATTTACAGGTACAAAAGCTTTTCAGTATTACCTAGTGATTCGCAGTTTTCTCTTGTGGTCATAAATGTATGTATAATTGATTTCTGAACATGTGTGCTAGCAATGACTCAGGTAGATCTTCAGTTGAATGTATGCATAAGTGAATCAGACTTCTTCCTCTTCTTTGCTGTGGTATTGCTCTATCTGGTCCTCCTGGATTTTATTCTCTTTCCTTAGGTCAACAGTCTTGGAGATGTAGTAATTATGCCATTTCAATATTTATGGACTCCACCACTGCTATACTTGTATTACCTCTGTACTAATCAGTCTTCATTATTGTTTCACTAGATTAGTGCTGTTGTCTCCTCCACAAGCGTCTCAATTCTTTTAATTCCACTCACCAATATGTTCCTCACTCTGAAACTAGACTAATGGTATTAAAACACGGTGATCTCTCAGTGTAGCTGACAGGTTCTTCAAAATTGTGACTTTAAGCAAAACGACATGCAGCATGCTGGTCGTCATATAACATTGTTTTATCAATGTCTTTTCACTGTAATATTGAAGAGAGAAAAATTCTGATTTTGACATATGTTGTTTTGCTTCAAGTCACAGTTACCAAGAACGTATGGAGAAAGTTAAGTGAGGATTTAATTTTTTTTGGTTGTTAATCACCTATTTGAAATCTTCATTGCTCTCAGATAAAATATGACCTTCTTTACCAAGAATGGCTGCTCCTTCTTGATATAATCTCTTCCTAAATCAAGTGCTTATCTTTAATTGTAATTCCTTTTCCCTCTTTAATGAGAAAAGTTCACTTCTCTTACACACTTAAAGGCATCCAGTGTCACATTCATCTCAAAATCTTTAGATAGATACTCTCTCCTGGAACATTTTTCCTTTGACAATTTTCCCAGATGATTCCATTTCATCATTTTAGCTTAGACTTTGTTTCCTACATTGGATAAATGTCCTTGCTACATGTCTCATAGCCCTCTAGACTATTTTGTTGATAGTAATTTAATGTTGTTGCTTGTCTGATGATCTGTCTCCTTCATTGGGTTCTTAATTCTTTCCATTGATACTTCATTCCAACTGATCATTGATGAATCATTGATGAATCCTAGTACTGAGCATATTGCCTTGCACATAGATTGAGCTCAAATATACATTTTTAAAGTATTTCTTTAAACTTTTAGCAAGATTAATAATTTAAATCTACTAAATTAAGATGATTCATATATTTGAAATTAACATGATTATGTAGAACATTTAGTTCTGTAGAAGTTATATTCTATCTTTCTATATGCATATTTGTGTTATGTCACATATACATTTATATTTTATTGATTTATAATATGTAGAACTGAAATTACAAAGAGGTAATTTACAATTCAAATTTGATTTCTGCCTGATCTAGAATAGCCATTAAGATCATTAACATATTAGACTTACCATAAAGATTTGATATGAATTAACAAATTATATAATGGCATAAAATAATTTATTTTAACAACATTTAATTGATCTTTATGGTATAGTAGAAAATGCTCATATTTTAAATCTGAAAAATGTGAATTTTAATACAACATATGCCACTTAACTGCTGGGTGAAATTGTGCAATAACAAAAAAGCTACTATTTACTGAGTAATTAATATATGTTTACATAGTCATTCAATATTCAATAACAACTTGTTAATTAGATGTAATTTTCCCCAGTATACCTATTTAAAAGTGGAGAGAATTAAATCTCTGATTGCCTAAGGACATTGAATGAATGAATAACATAACTGAGATCCAAAGAGCATGTTTTTTCACTGACGTCATTTACCTTTCCTCTCAAAATTCGAGTTTTATTGTGAGGAATGCAGTTTGTTAATCAAGTAATAGAGTGATTTGCACAGAGAAAACCTTCAATAATTGGTAGTTACTTCAAAAAACAAAAGTCAATTGATTAAACTCAGAAATCCTTTATGTTTTCTTGACCTCCAGAAGCAATGATGCCTTCCAACAGAATTGGTAGGCTGACCTCCTTCTTTCAGTTACTATCATATTACTTATATTTATAATATTTTAATTATTGCTTTTGACTTCCTTTTCCCTCTTTATCTGCCACCTTCCATCACTCCTACTTAAGTTAATGAAGACAACAGAATTTTATATATATGGGAGCTCCCGTCCTCTGGATTTTCATAAGAGGAATATGATTGTCACTATCAGGCATTTTAAGTCTTGTTTTTACATAAAATAGTACATGAAAAATATATTTAAATGGTTTTTACTTTTTTATGTTTTAAAGATGTTTTTTGAAAACTAATCAGAAGAGGAATGCTTATATCTCAAGAAAATTGAAACCACCTGTAAAATAATCTTGTCTGTGCTGTGTTTTGATTAGATTGAAGCTTAGTGTAAACAGAAAATACAAAAGTTTATATTTTTGTAAAAAAAAAAATGCAGTACATTGTTGGCTAAATTATGTCATGAAACCAGAACTTTTCAAAATCAGCTGACTATATAGGGCTTAACCAAATCAACATATCTTGATCATGTTTTTCTAGGCCTTCTTTCCCAAAGAAGGTCCCAAGCTGCTAGTGACACTATCTTTGCAGTGTAGGCTCTTATTAAATAGACAGAAGGAGCTGGCATGTTTTATATCATTAAGTAATTTAGGAAAAACTTCACTAACAATGTATGTTTTTTTCTGTTTAAAGGAATATTTACAACATTTGAATTCCTCTGTTTCTCCATCAAAGCACATTGTCATCAAAGCTACTTGCACTTTGGGGTTAGAAACAAAGCCAATTCCAGGAATCGCTCAAACAACTTTGCTTGGAAATTTCCAGCAATACTTAAAACACAATTTTGTAGCAATTCTTTATGATAAACTGTAAAATACAGTTGCCTGAAAATGACTGACAAGTCAATCATCATTCTGAGCCTGGTGGTTTTTCACAGCTCCTTTATAAATGGAAAAACATGTAGACGGCAATTGGTGGAAGAATGGCATTCACAACCGTCATCATATGTGGTAAATTGGACACTAACAGAAAACATCTGCGTGGACTTCTATAGAGATTGCTGGTGTTTGGGTGTAAACACTAAAATAGATACTTCAGGCAATCAAGTTGTTCCCCAGATTTGCCCTTTGCAAATTCAATTAGGGGATATCCTTGTAATTTCTTCTGAACCATCTCTTCAATTTCCAGAAATAAATTTGATGAATGTTTCGGAAACATCTTTCATTGACTGTATGCAAAATACCACAACTGAAGATCAGTTACTTTTTGGTTGCAGACTAAAAGGAATGCACACTGTTAATTCCAAGTGGCTGAGTGTTGGGACACATTATTTTATCACAGTCATGGCAAGTGGTCCATCACCTTGTTCACTGGGACTTCGACTAAATGTGACAGTGAAACAGCAGTTCTGCCAGGAATCTCCGAGTTCAGAAATTTGCTCTGGTCGTGGTAAATGTCTTAGTGAACTTTGGAGCAAGATATATAGTTGCCATTGCCAGCCTCCATTTTCTGGAAAATACTGCCAGGAACATGATGCATGTTCTTCTAAACCATGTAAAAATAATGGCAGTTGCATTAATAAAAGAGGAAAATGGGATAAGCAAGGATATGAATGTGTCTGTCATCCCCCATTTACAGGTAAGATTGTTTAAGATATACAATTTTATTAAAATCGAGAGTACAATGAATTCATAAACTGTTACTTAACAAAAATGAAACTACATTTTAAAAATTGGATTTCTTAGAATTGGCTAAATATAGATTCTGGACATATGCAAATCCTATTAGAGATCCTCTAAAATAGCCTTTTTGCTTAACTGGAAAAGGCCTCTTAGAAACATGTTTTATAGTGAAATACCTATATTTACATGTTTCCCAACATCCATTCTTAATGTCTCGTACATTAAAAAATAAGAATATCAGAGTGATATAAAAGCTTTTAGTCGCTGAACGAAATGCCCCAGGTTATGGTATTTGGACAGGTGATAATTTGAAAATGAAGTATGCATCTGAGTAGAGGAAGTCAAGGAACTATGGTGGGAGGGCAGTCATTGAAGCTGCTTGGCGGATTGGAGAGAAACTGGTCGTTGTGAGCCAAGAGTAATATTTTAAATCGATGTTGGTATGGCATGCAAAATGTGATTTATAGGTGATAGTGACAAGGATGAAAAGAAGATGCTATAATTCATAACTGATTGTAATAAGCTCAATAAGAGGCAACAATCAGGAAGGGTTGTGAACAGATGTTTGGTGAGTAATTAAGCCAGAGGAAGGGCAATCTAAAAAATTTTAAATTATGCTACCTGAGGCTAAAGTGAAGTTTGAAGGGAATAAAACTCTCTTTATTTCAGCATATACTAGAGGAATTTAAGGTCAATGGAGGAAAGTGAGGAGCAAGAGTGAAGAAATGTAGGGAACGTTAAAAGCTTGGAAACTTGTGAAATAATTTATTTTAATGAGAGTTTGACAGACCTGGCATGGAGAGTTTCAAGTAAAGTAGGTAAGACCAGGATGATCTAACAGAGAAATAGTTGACATGGCTGGTAGTAATGGCCTAGGAAAACAGATTGGTAGTGTATTTTGGTCATAAAAGAGGAAAGAATGTTAGAGCAGAGCTGTGTCTAGAGCAGATCACCTGCAAGGATTTAACTGTAATTTTGTCAGGCAGGCTTTAGGGGGATTTCCTCTCCTATGTGCCCGAGGCCGACTTCATTGGAGCCAAAGTTGAAGAGGCTCTGTAATAAGATTTAATGGGGAGGCCATCCGCGGTGGCTCAAGCCTGTAATTCCAGCACTTTGGGAGGCCATGGTGGGCGTTTCACCTGAGGTCAGGAGTTCAAGACCAGCCTGGCTAATGTGGTGAAACCCCATCTCTACAAAAATACTAAAATTAGCCGGGTATGATGGCCAGCACCTGTAATCCCAGCTACTCCAGAGACTAAGACGGAAGAATCCCTTGAATCGGGAGGCAGGGATTGAGGTGAGCCGAGATTGAGCCATTGCACTCCAGCCTGGGTGACAGAGTGAGAATTTATTTTATTTAGAGTTTGACAGACTTGGCATGGAGAATTACAAGTAAAATAGGTAAGACCATTTTTCTTTATTAGAGAAATATTTTTCTAACACAGAGAAATATTTGACATGGCTGGTAATAACAGTATAGGAAAATAGCAGATTGGTAGTGTATTTTGGTCATAAAAGAGGAAGGAAGGTCAGAGCAGAGCTATGTCTAGAGCAGATCACCTGCTGGGATTTAACTGTAATTTTGTTAGGCAGGCTTTAGGGGGATTCCTTCTCCTATGTGTCTGAGGCTGACTCCATTGGTGGTAAATGTTTCCTACAGTTTTTCAGTCTTTCTCCTCACTTTCCTCCAATGACCCCAAATTCCTCTGGTATATTCTGAAGTAGGGTTTTATTCCCTTCAAACGTCACTTTAGCCTCAGGTAGCATAATTTACATGTTTTTAGATTGCCCTTCCTCTGGCTTAATAACTCTCCAAAACAAACAACAAAACAAAACAAAAGAAAATATTTAATGGAAGATCTCAATAAACCATTGTAGCCTGTAAAATTCACCTAATCCAATCTTTCAAAGAGTCATTTTGGACTTGATAGAAGCTCGGTACCAAGATCATTACAGAAGTTAATACCAATAATAGCCACTGAATATATTGTCTCTATAACGTGGATCAAATTCTAATTTGACTGTACCGGCATTGGTGATAGAAGGTGCAAGTTATATCCCTGATTTATGCTGGGGCATATCAGGTGATTAAAGCTAAGGCAGGCTAGAGAAAAAATGAAAGCACTCAAATTGCTAATTTGGAGTGAATGATAAATCAATTTAATAGACAATCTCTAAAGCATCCGTTTTCACCTGTCCAAAGAGTTTTAAAGGATATTTGGCCAGAAAATTTCTACCATATGTTGGAATATTAATTTGAATGTATGTATTCATAGTTCATGGGATATTGTTTTGGTGGTTTTATTATAATTGCATAGAGTGGTTTGCTTCTTAAGATTTCTTTCTTTTTTCTTTCCTTCCTCCTTTCCATCCCTCCCTCCCTACTTACTTTTATCCTTCCCTCCCTCCCTTCCTTCCCTCTTCCTTCCTTCCTTCTTTTTTTCTTTCATTTCCTTTTCTTTCTTTCTTTCCTTCCTTGCTTTTTCTTTCTCTCTTTCTTTTTTGCTTTTTTTTTCTTACAGCCATAGGTGCTTTCAACCATTCAACTTTGAGCAGTATAAAAATATCTAGATAGTGCTTCATTATTTTTATAACATTAAGAATACTCCATTTTCCACTTTAATTATAAATAATTACTTCAATTATAAAATCTCAGAAGAAAATGAAGTATGTAGATTTGCCAGAATAATTGAGAATGCTCACTGCATTAGTTTGCTAGAGCTGTCCTAACAAAGTATATACTGCATGGCTTAAACAGAAACTTATTTTCTCACAGTTTTAGATGCCAAAAGTCCAAGATCAAGGTATTGGTAGGTTTGGTTCCTTCTGACACCTATTTGACTGCTCCGTAGACTGCTATCTTCTCCCTATGTCTTTACATTGTCATTTCCCTGTATGTATGTGTACAAACATTCTCCTCTTAGATGCACATCAGTCATATTGGATTAGGACACACACTACTAACCTTGCTTAGCCTTAGTTGTGTACTTATCTAAAGATGTTGTCTCTAAATACAGAAACTCTGTGATACTAAGGGTTAGGACTGCAACATATGAATTTGACAGAGATGGGTGGGCAAAATTTAGCTTATAAAACTCACTAAGTTTTAATTATGTCATGGCCTATTGAGCATTCTACTGTTAATTTAATTTTTATGTTTGGAAAACATTTTGAAAGAATAATTTTTATTTACATTTTCATTTATATTTTTATTATGTTTAAGGTTGCTTGGAGGTAAATGAAGAAAGAGGAGTTCTGCATTAGTGAAGCAGGGATGTCAGTATAGACGGAATTTGAAAGACATCAATGATAGAGGCAAAAACTACTTATAAATTAAGAGCTTAATTAAACTGAGGGTAAACAGCATATTGCAAATTTACATGCAGTTGTTTTGTAACATTTGTCCACTTGGTATGCCCTGGGATTTCCAAGGCACATTCCTCTACTAAGAGTATTATAAGATGATTAACTTTGCATAGAACTAGTTTGTTATGGAAGGCTATATTTCCAAATCTCACTTAAACATACTATTGTAGTCCCACTATGATAGAGTGATAGAAGGTGCAAGTTATATCCCTGATTTATGCTGGGGTGTATCAGGTGATTAAAGTTAAGGCAGGCTAGAGAAAAAGTGAAAGCTCTCAAATTGCTGATTTGGAGTGAATGATAAATCAATTTAATAGACAATCTCTAAAGTCCCACTATGATAGAGGGGGACTACAATAGTATGTGTAAGTGAGATTTGGAAATTTTATATGTCAACAAGGGCAAATAAGTGTTGAATTTGCAAGTTTGTGCACCTATTTTGAGAATCCAGGCAGCCATTTCTCCTTTTGAATTGTTCCTTGACTAGGGAATAAAGGCTGTGACACAATACACATTTGAATGTGTCACTTTGTAAATTACCACTGCAATGCTATTAGTGTATGTTGAAAAACTGGTACTTATTACATGTATTAATATTAACTACCATGAACACAATTAAAATTTTAAAAAATTATGTAAATTAAGTAAAGCTCAAATACCAGTATCCAGAAAAAAATACTTGGATATTATAGTCTGGAGTCAGAAGATGAAAAACTTACATAAAGTATCAAAATTAATTTTTATTTCAATTTAAATGCATCTTTGTGTAGCATGGTTTTATGGCTGAAATTACATTTGTCATAATTTGATATTTTCATTATTAAAGAATTGAGGAAACTAATGGTTATAACATTGACATGCAATGTAAATAAATGTTTTTTCAATGTTACAGGAAAGAATTGCTCAGAAATAATTGGCCAATGTCAACCACGTATCTGTTTCCATGGAAACTGCAGCAATATTACTTCAAATAGTTTCATCTGGGACTGTGATGAACAATATTCAGGTAAAAATGCATATATACATATACATATGCACAAACAATTTTAGTTTTATGTATTTCAAATTAAATGCGAACTATTTCCTTTATTATTGAAAAATATACTTTTAGAGGTTATATATACTGAACTATTTTATGGTAAAGTTAATAAATCAATTTGTTTAATACGATTAAATCAAAATGCAGATAATGTTTTATAGCATAAGAAGAGTTTGAACGCTAGTTTACACGCTTTTCACCATAAAATTACTAATATCTTTCTTCAAACTTGTATTTATGATCAATGAATTTGAAATTTTTAATGTCTTTACTTGATACTTCTTAACCATGAAATGTTAAATTATGGATATTTTTACTGAACACATGTTGAGGTTTCTGCTCATTAAAAAAAAAAAGTCTGCTAGAAAGAAGATATTATTAAATGTTTTTTGGTATAAAATATGCAGATAAAATATTTTTATCAGAGCCCTATATTTTATTCTATTCAAAATCAATTTGTTAGATAACATTTTTCAAGATAATAATTAAGTAAATGATTTCTTTTTTTTGCGTGTGTTACACTAAATGTAAATATATTTGTATGCATTTCTATTTATTATTCTTTAGACTGGCTAAATTAGATGCCATATATTTGTCGACCCTCTCAACTTATTTCCGTTATGCTCTAGTATGTAAGTTTATTCTTGAAATTTAGGAGCCCCCTCAAATGTTTCTCACAAATTCAGCTATTCCAAAACACTGTTATAATATTTAAAATCTTGTACACTTTTGAACTGTTTTTAAATTTGCTAAGTGTCTCCTTGCATCTTGGAAGAAAAAAAACTTTAGTGTTTTATTTTAAAAATGTAACTTATTGTAATGTTAAAAACTGATTTGATACTTAATTTTTTTTAGCTGTTTAATTAAATTCTTGAAACTGATTTTGAGCAAGATGTAGCCAAACTTAGAGGATTCTGTTATTAAAATGTCAAAGTGTCTCAGGGCCATTAGTTTCATTTTCAAAGTCATTCTTTTGAGACTTAAACATTTCTAAAATGTGAATGTTGATGAAAAGCAGCAAGAAAAAGCACATTATGCCATGTTACAATTTTTTAAATAACAGTTTTGTCACAATGAATTAGTTCCATTACTCTATAAGTATTTAACATTTAAAATTATTTGTGAATTTTGCAACTATAATTTTTATTTCAGTTGTGTGAATATCATGACTAATTTGAATCAAAATATGAATTATGGGTGAACCACAGTACATTTCTTATATTTTCTGCTCCACACTTTTCTATATTTGATCAAAACAATGTATTATGCTACCTACTTAACAAAATGTATATTTAAAATTTCACCACAGAAACCAATAACTTTATTTTAAAATATTTTTGCTGAATTCACAAATTCGCAATAGCACTACCAATATTGTCAGATATCTTGCCTTTGGAAGAACAACCTTGCAAAACTTTATTTTAATACATTGGAGGGAAAAATCAAACCATTATTGGAATTAACTGATTATAAATTTGAAGGTTTTGTTGTGTTTTGATTTTTTGAGACAGAGACTCACTGTTTCACCCAGGTTAGAGTGCAGTGGTGAATCTCTAGTCACTGCAACCTCTGCCTGCCAGGCTCCGGTGATTCTCCTGCCTTACCATCCTGAGTAGCCAGAATTACAGGTGCATGTCACCACAGCCGGCTAATTTTTTGTATTTCTAGTATGACAGGATTTTGCCTTGTTGGCCAGGTTGTTCTCAAACTTTTGGCCTTGGCCTCCCAAAGTGCTGGAATTACAGGAGAAAGCCACCCACCCAGCCCAAGCTGGCATTTTCTAACTGTGCATGAAGTTGTCTACTAGTTGATCTGACACTTTGACAACTGTCACTTTACTTTTTGTATGCACAGAGGAACTTGCAATAAAAAATGAGAAAAATAATTTTGGGACAGTCATTTGATCTAAACGAAAAGTCATGCTTCACAAAGTGATATGTAAGAAGACCTTCTGCTTATGCACCTAACCCATCATCAGGAGACAGTCTTCTAAAATATTTACTAACATTTTAAAAAGTAGAATGCTGATGGTTCCTCAACTAATGTATGTATTCTGGTTTGTATACAGTCAGTAATGTCACTAATATCCTACAGTGAATAATTAATAGTGGCACAGTTTAGGGACAACTACATATTTATCATCAATTTTCTAGGAAAACATAAATTTGAAACTAAATTTTATTCAAAAGTAAATTGTTTCTTTTGAACTTCTTCCTCTATGTGCATTTATTGTAGAATAAGAAATGTTCATCAGTGTATAATAAAATATGTAAATAGTTGTACGTTTATACCAAGGGCTGGCAAACTTTCTGTAAAGGGTTAGATGATAAATATTTTAGACTTTTTGAGCCATATGGTCCCAATCACAATGATTCAACTCTGCTATTATAGCATGAGAGCAGCCACAGACATACATAAATGTGTGAATTTCACCATATCAATAAAACTTTTTTTACAAAAATAAGTGGAAGGTGTTTTTGGCTTACTGTTACAGTTTACCAACCACTGTTTTGTACCACACAATAATTGACCAAACCTCTATAGCAAGAACATACAGGCAATTATCTATAAACCCTATGATGAGACTGGTAGCCTCAATTTTCCTCTTATATGTAACATAAACATAACTCATAATTTCCTGTGACTCTCACTGACCGTGCTCAGTGGCAGCCCGGAAGTCCAGTGCTGGAAGTGCAGCATTATTAGTAACCTTCTCTTCATACAAACTGAAATAAGGAGAAATTAGCTATTTTTGGCTGCTGGGGTCTTCCAAGTCCTACAAGCTGTATTTGAATGATTGACACAATAAAATTTGCATCTGGACAGCATTGAAACAGAGGTAGTTTATTACTGGCTATATTATCATATTATCTGCATGTTAAAAAATTAAGTTTCTGCTTATGTATAGCTCCATATCTCACACCCCTGGAAAAGTTGATGGCAGAATTTAAAGTACCAAGTGGTGATTTATCATGCCCATCCCATGCATTATTTTAATGCAGCTATATACAATAGCACTTGGTTAAAAAAATCCAGGACAAATGGTATTTTAATATTTGGAGATAATTGTTTCTTCAGCAAAATTCTGTACAGCTAGTGCTCGATTTACGACCATGATTGGTTCTGACAGACAGGTCATAACATGGTTTGATAGTAAGCTGAGTAGGCTATATGCACGTGGAGATGGTAGTGCTGCCGGAAGCTGGTCCACACTGTCGTACACCCAGCTGGGCAACGTTTGCGCTGCCAGACGCGGAGCAGTCGTGGCTAGCGATTGTGGTCATAAAGTCGAATGGTCGTAAGTTGCATAGGTCGTAAGTCGATCAATACCTGTATTCTACTCCATGAGCATAAACTGGTGCTATCCTAAGCAAACTAGAATGATTACCCAATGAAGGTTTGGTAACTATAATGGGGTAATTTTTACATTCTTTTGAGACCTACAGCCTGTGACAAAAGTGTACAGGAAGCATCACATTTAAAAGATGTATAAAATATGTCTTTATCTATCCATCTGATATGGCTTAACTATTTCCCCACCCAAATCTCATCTTGAATTCCCACGTGTTGTAGGAGGGACCAGTAGGAGGTCAGTGAATCATGGGGGCAAGCCTTTCTTGTGCTGTTCTCATGATAGTGAGTAAGTCTCACGAGATCTGATAGTTTAAAAAAACGAAGTTCCCCTGCACAAGTTCTCTCTCTCTGGCTGCTGCCATCTATGTAAGACATGACTTGTTCCTCCTTGCCTTCCACCATGATTGTGAGTCTTTCCATGCTACATGGAACTGTAGGTCCATTTCACTCTTTATTTTGTAAATTGCTCATTCTTAGGTATGTCTTAATCAGCAGCATGTAAACGAACTAATAGACCATTTATCTGGTTATTTCATATATATTTTCTAATATTTTATTGTTGATTGCTACAAAACTCTTCAGAAACTAATATATTTTTCTGCAGTGATCAACTGTGCATATTAATACATATTATTTGATATATGAATCTGGATTTATAATTGAGATTATGTTCCAATGAGTCATGGTAAAAGTACAGAAAATTAATATTTCTTATGCCTTATCAATTGGGATTATTATAAAATTAGCCTTTATGTCAAGTTCTCATTGCTTTTGAATTTTATTCCAAACAGAATTTTGGAATTCATATCATTTGGAATATTAGAGTTGTCATACCTAAAGCAGTTTAATAACCCACGTCTAAAGCAAATTTACATTAAGACTCCAAATAAATATGGGATAGAGTATGCCAATCCTATTTTAAAACTAAAGAGCCCTTAGAAAAACAAAGTCTTGATTTTTCAGATATCTCTATATTGTGAAATAGAGTGTAAATAAGAATAATTGGCCATTAGGTCAAACTTCAATTTCAAACATTATAAAATTAAAATTAAGAACTAAAATCTAATCTGAAACCATGTGCAAATTTATTCTTCATTGTAATCCTGAATTTGAAAATGTTATATGAGATTTATGCATCCATTAGAAAGTGACTTATTCTAACAGTATAAGATTTATTTCTACATTTTTAAAGGTGTATTTTTGATCAATGCAAGCAGAATTTAAAATTATTATGCTATACATTATTAGTTTATGACACATTTTCAAATATGAATTTGTTGTAAAAACAAGTGATTCTCAGAAAATAAACTCTTTGTTTTTAGTTTAAGACTAAATTAAAGCTACCAAAATCAAATTTAGTTTCAAGCTAGGAAAGTTTATTTGTAAGGATGCTGAGAGGATTGTACCTAAGATAAGTGATGTTAAAAGGTTTTGCTGTGGCATTCGATAAATAAAAAATTTTCAGAATATGGTAACTTCAACTACCATTTTGGACAGATAATAAGAGATCCAAATATGATTAGTAGAGAATAGTCTAAGATGTTTAGTTAGCAGTTTAAATCAGTGGGAAGACAGAATACTTTCCCATGTAAAGTATATATTTCTCCATTTGT